ATAAGTGACAAGTGTATGAAGAATAAGATGATTTAAGTAAGTGCTGAAGATGATTTAAGTAAGTGCTGATACTACGTGCTTTAAAACTAAGTCTCCTGGCTCTTTCTTTCAATGAAGTGTTTGGTGGTTATAAAATTACTATTAATAATATTGGTTGTTATAAATTACTATTAATACAAATGTGTCTTCAATTTGTTTCTATAATCATTCAGTTACATTTAAGATCATTTGAAAAGGACAGCTGGGGGTTTGATGTTCAATATTACCATAATAAAGAAAAAACTTAATTAAGGATCAAATCTAATTTATGGGTATACATTAGTGCATGATTATTATTTTTAACAAACAAAAAAATTAAATCTATGCAACAAGTGCTCCACAGATCCGAGGCATGAGAGTAAATTATTTTATATTTTGCTGTAGCTTGCAAAGTCAAAAGGTGCTTCATTTGACATTATTTATAATATAAAAGACTGGCTTTGCTAACCAAGAAATTAAAATCTATTCCTATAACTATACATATTATTGTCACGTTTTTTAAAAGTATTTTCTAAAATATCTTAGTAATAATATCGCTGGGCCTTAAGATTAAAAATTTTTTCAAATTTAAATTCCCAAATTAACTCAAAACTATTAATATGCTTGAAAGAGCAAACTAATATGAGCATATTTTAATGTTTTCTGCTTTATAGTAAGAATATATAAGATTTTATATTCACAGAATATGTTAAGACTTTAAAATCCTTTTTAATTGTGAAAACTATAAGGATTTTATGCAAAGAAGAACAAACATTATGTGACCTGCAATAATTACAATGTAGAGACTCCTGTTTTTCTTTTATATGAAGGAAGTATTGGCATTTGCTAATATGGCAATTACTGGTATTTGCCCTAACTTTTCTACAAATTCAAAAAGATTCTTTAGTAGATAACAAGTGTACTATAGACCACTAACGTAAATTGTCTCTATGTGTTCTGCTTTTTGTAACACTGAAATAGGAATTTTAACACAGAAAATTACTTCCTTCTATGGGTTCAGTGAATCACTCTAAAGCATGTGAAATTTTCCATTAAAACAGTGTTCCATCCTAAACTTAGGATGGAACTTAGGAAAGAGGCAGAGAAGCCGTCTTTACCAAGAAAAATTGTTGAAGATATTGAATCTGTCTGATTCCAACTTTGCCAAATCACTCTCGACATCTTTTCTCTTACCGTCCAGGCAAAGTATCAGAATTGCATTAGCTTACAATTCTCATTAAAAGTTTAGTTTAAAACACACTAACCTTTACAACTATATCCTACAGAAGTCCTCTCACAAAATATCATCCATCAATCAGCCTAATTGAGGTCACACATCAGTGAGGGCTTGATGAATTTCAATGGCAGATTGTTTTCGTGGCATGAGTAAACTAGATCACACATATATTTTTGCAACCTTCTACACACAGTATTTTTGAATACTTTAAGTGCAGCATCATAAATGGTACAGTGACTATGTAGGAAAATGTTATTCAAGGATGAATCTCATGATGTCCGTAGCTTATTTTAAAACGACCCAGTAGAGAAAAGAATGCATATATACATATAGGTAGAGACATCAAGCAAATATGGCTTCTATTATAGATGATGTGTGTATGGATATTTGTTGGACTATTCTTTCAACTTTTTTGTGTGTTTGAAAATATCTTAAAATGGAAGTTTTACACCTCATTGGTTTATCCTTAAAAGCAGATTTAAAAGTTTTTCTTTTTAAAACATAGAAGTTTAAAAACATAAAGAGAATCAACGCTCTTCATTCTCCTAGAAATTATTTTTTGTAGTTTATTGGGTATTCCACATTTTTAATTTTCTTCACATTAAGTGCTGTTTTCCACCTGAACTGGCTGTGAATAATTAATACTACTCATTAAACAAACTCAAGGAAATATGAAGTCAAAAAATCACTTAGGTTTTACACAGTAGGCTTTCCTTTTACTCTTCACATTTTTCTGGACTTTTCCCAACATTCACTGTTACTAGATACTAGCTCCGTTCACCTGTCCTCTTGAAAATAAGCAGGGACCAAGGCCTGTCATGCTTAAAGTTTATTTCAAAGCCTGTGGGAACTCGAATTTTGTAAGAAAGTTTTTTTAGTATAGAACATAAAGCTAACAAGGTATGTGTGTCTTAGAGAAAATCATGAACTGGTTAGTTTTTGGTCTGGATTTTTTTTCTTTTTTTTTTTTTTGGAGTTTTAATGAAAAGCTATAGAAGCTTCAGGGAACCTTAAAGACCCAGAAAAACACTAAGAGAAATTTAAAAATTTAATCATAGTGTCTTCTCACTCTCCTCTCCAGATCTTCAGAACACCAATATTTTGTCTGGTGATGACACAAAAGTCAGTAAAAGCACCAGTTCATATACCACTGCCCCTCAAATTCCTATATTCACTGTTGCAGCTGCTGCTTAAAACAGGGTTACTGAATATTTCTATTCATCATTGCTTTTGTTAGATAATAATGGCTGATTTTTCCAGGCATATGTTAACATCCACAATAAATTTATCATCAGCAAATTAGAAAAATAAGCTTCTTATGAGTGTAACTTCCTCCAAAATGTCACACCTTCCTTTAACTGATGCTTATTTTAAATTCTCTCTACTTTCATGACATGAAAATCCCTTCAAAGTGTATGCTATTAAAATATCTAAATTTGGAAAACATCTGGCCTGTCAAATTATTTGGGGGGCTTGTGATTTTAAGTATATTGTTTGAGGTGGTGTATTTGGAAAGACTCACTTATCATTCTCAGCTTCACAGAGAACTAGCCCTGAAAACAAATGTATGGGGTAGTTCACTGCTCCCATAGAGAATCAATAGCCATCTATTTAATTTGCTAAGACAATGTAAATTAGTAACTTCCAGCCAGATGTGCGATATACACATCAAACAAACTGCAACCTGTTCATTATGAAAATCCCGTCAACACACACAGAGCCACTTGATGACATTTCATCTAAGGCAGTTTTCACATTTGCAGCCATAAAAATTGCCCTGAGAATTTTTATACAAAGAATTGGAGCTGAGGCTCATAAAAGGGTCATCAATTTCAGTTTTTCATCTTGTGTGCTTCTGTGTGTTTATTTCTGTTTTCATTCAAAGGTATAAAACATTCAGAAAAATATGTGCCATGCTATTTTTTCCTTCTGCAAATCATTTATCCTCATTACATCTTTTTAATCTGATGTAAAGTTGGGATTCTCACCCCACTGCCCTGAAGGATTGTGTAAAGTGAAGAATGACAGAGTCAACAGAAGAAAGGAAGTACACTTATCCACTGGAAAACAAGACTGAATATTTCAAAATGACTCCAAACATAAATTAAGTTTACCCATTGGGAGGTCTAACTTGCATTCTGATCATTTATATGGGTCTGTGTGACTATATACCCTGCTGTTTGATAAAAAATGATTACTAAGCACAGGCACCCACCAGAGAGCAGAGTGTATGTATAATGCTGTGATGTCTCAGACATATAAAGCACCTTCTTAAAGAATGTCCGTTTCCTTTCCATGGTAAGCAGACATAATTTTTCACTCTTTAATACTTCTGCTTCACGGAGTGGCTTATTTTATGAATTATGCTTTGCCGTTTTCTCTTATGTTTATTTTGATAATATGAAAAATGGCATTCATAAAATAGATGGTTTTGTTTCATGATATCCAAAATATTGGTATGTTTTCTGCTCTGTATGAAAATCTACAGCCCTCTTGCTATTACAAAAACCTAACAGTATTTATTTTAACCATTTACTAAAATGAGAGAAATAAAAAGATTCTTCTTAATAACCAGCTATTATTCTTGAACACAGAATCCTCACCTAAACCAAATTCATTTTCCAAGTCTTTTGGGTTAAATTTTCTCATTAAACAGGGCACAAAATAAATAGTCTTATTGCCAAGCCTAACATTTCCAACTACTATACTTTTAATTCAACAGTTTAGAAGAACACGGCATGAATCTAGTCCTCATCACCTATAGTATAGTCTGATTCCAAACAGCACCCTTTAACCAACTCCGTAATGTCAAAATAGCATTTCTACTAAGTGCCCAGGTGTCAATGCTTCTAAAGTAAATAACTCCTGAGATCTCCTAAAAGCACAAGAATTTCAACATCTACAAAAAAAGAACTGCGCACACAAAAGGGTTCTTCATAAAGGCTTCAACCCTAAGCAATTCAACTTTCACAAACATTATACAGAACGTGCTTTCTTCACCAGCCACACACCAGGCCACGTGATCAGCCTGCAGGGCAACACCGACAACCAGAAATGATTATTGTTTCTAGAAAGAATAAGGCTCAAATGCAGCCACTGCAGCCACCCAGCGAGCAGCACCCGCAGGTGGCACCAGGAGGCCGGCTCCTCACCCGGTGATTCGGTCACACAACACTCGGGGCTTGGGCTCCAGCCAAGACTGGCAGCATTAGCTCGGATCGCTTTGCTTTCTGGAGGTTAAAGTCAGACCTTCTTGGTCACTCAAACCTCCTTTGTGGTTCAGGAAAAGAATCCCTCTCTCAGAACTCTTAACTTTGAATGGAGACTGGTTAAAATTAAGAACTTCAAACCCAGATTTGAAAAAGTGAAACAGATGTCCTGTTTGTTAACCATAAATGGCTCCGTACGTCGGGTCCTTTCCTCTCTCTTTTTTTTTCCTTTCTGCCGCATTAAGTTTTATTTAATGCAGAGTTCGCTTAAAAGGCTAAAAGAGAGAGAGTAGAAAGCAAATATAGACTGTGGATGGAAAAACCCCTAAATCTTTCTCCGGAATATAACGAAGGAAGCCTCTTCATAAGGATGAAAGTGTTCAAGCTGCCGCCTCCCAGCGCAGCCAGCACTGGGGTCAAAACCAGAGTCCCCAGTAGAACCTAGACTCGCCTAACCCGACGGTGCCCCCCACCTGCACGCTCGTAGAGACCAGCGTCGCCTGGAGCGGGCGAAGGGGTCGCAGGCTTGCACTCACGTGAGAACATAGTTGACGCTGACGATACAGTGTGGCCTGGACGAGCGGCTGTTGTGCACGATGGTCGCATAGCTCTGTACCCAGACCCAGCCGCCGTGCTTCGCCAGGAACCTGTAGTATTTCGTGGTCACCTGCCCCTTCACCAGCACTGATGGAGAGACAGAAAGCAGCTGGCGTGAACGAGCTCGCTCTGGATCGGTCTCAAACGCCATCCCTGGCGGTGGGAGTGCGGGTCCCCTGGGGGCCCTAATAACTGCGCCAGGCAGGAGGGAGAGACAACCAACACATTCCAAAACGAATTGATTGTCTGGTTAATTTGCATCGAATCCTGCGGTCCCTCACCATTAGCAAAACGGGAAACACTCAAATTGGGGGGATTCCCTGATTCTGTTTTCTAACTATGGAAGGCGGGGTCCAGGCCGCAGGACTCCGACGCCCCTCTTTCCAGTTCCAGGAGATTCAGCTCAAAAGCAAACTTGTATCAAAAGCCAAGAGCGTCAACTCGCGTGAGCCAAGCGGGCTAGCCTCGCTTTTTGTTCCCACCTTTAGAGGTCTACAAGGGAGGAAGCATATAAACAGGAGAATGAGACCCCTCCAGGGCAGGTTCTGCCCAGAAACTCTCCCCCCGCCTGTGTGAGCTGCTCGCGGATGTCAGAGAAACGAGTCGGGGCCCAGGTTTGGAGGAGCCACTAGCAGGGCCTCACACGCTGCCACCGCTCGGCTCAGGGGGCTCCCACCCGTCCTGGACTGAGGACTTCAATCACGCCCCCGCCCCCGGGCCGGCCAGGATGCGCCGGGGTGGGCCCAGCGCTGGGCAGCCTGGCGCCTTACGCAGGTGGTGAGCGCAGCGCAGGTGGAAGGTGTCGCAGCCGTGCACGTGGTGGTACAGGGTCTTCTCAATCAGGTCCTGAGGTTCGTACCCAGTCAGCTCCGCCACTCTGCGAAGATCAATCCCCGGAGGATGAGTACCGAGTGCGGCGGTGCCCCCTCCACCCCAGACAGCCATCTCAGACTTGTGGGCCCGCCCTCACTTCACAGTGCCCGATGGGCCGCCTCATCTGTAAAATGGGCTGCCAAGGTGCTCTCTGTCACTGACCAGAGCCGCCCTCTCCCGAGGGGCGACCCCTTCCTGCCCTGGCCACCCACCTAGAGTCCAGGAAGATGAGCTTCATGTCCAGGCTGGCGCGGAACATGAACATGTTGCTGTGCAGCTTGATCTCCGTGACGGCGCTGGGAGGCAGCGAGTGGCCCACGGCCACCAGGCCCACATTCTGGTAGCAGCCGTCGAAGGGGGACATGTCCAAACTGTACTGGCGGATCTTCAGGTAGCCGCTGCAGTGAATGACCTGCGGCGGAGGGTGAGCTGTTGAGACTCAGCCACAGCCAGAGACACCCCAAAAGGGTGAGGAGGAGAATGAAACGTTAGGAAACACTCCTCGGCCACAAAGACCATGTGGGCCACGCCCTCGCACTGAAGTGTCCAAAGTTATTGGGGCTCCAACGTGTCTCAAGGGAAAGAATGCACTGCCATTCTGAACTCACCTGGGGCTTGTAAAAATGCAGAGGCCTGGGCCCTGCCAACCCAACGCATCCGAATCTCCAAGGGGGGCCCTGGAACCTACATTCTAATCATGTTTAGTCTCATCAAACAAGAGAACTACGGATTTCAGGTAAGGCTCGGGTTCTTAACCTCTCCAGGGGTCAGATTCTTATGCTGTGAGTAAATTCAACGGATCCCCCGAAGTTACCGTTTCAGACCCTTTACACACCCCTAATGCCCGTTATGGGCCCCAGGTTAAGAGCCCCCGCGGCCAGCCGAGCAGTATGCGGACCCAGGGAGACTTAGTCTTAAAACGCAGTCCCCAGGTGTTCACAAAGTTCAATGTCCCTCGTGGTGCGCCGGGCCCGCAGCGCCCTGACGCATGCGGGGGCGCCTTCTGGGGTGGTCCCGGTCGCAGGAATGTCCCTCCCACGCCGCACACGCCTCGCGTCCTGCCCCCTTCGTCTACACCCGGCTAGGTGGCCGTGGTCGCCATCATGCGTGTATCTTCCGTCCCAGCTGCGCACCTTGTAGCCGCCGCAGGTGAGGCCCGCATTCCTCTTGGCCAAGACGCATTTCATCCTCAGGAAGAAGGAGCGCTCGATCTCATACTCTGGGAGAGAGCAGGGAGGGAGGCGCAGGACGTGAGACAGGCGGCGCCGCCGTCCCGGCCATGACACAGGGGAAGAACCGCAAACGGACTCCGGTGGGCCCGAGTGTCGCCGGCGCGCGCGTCTGCCTTACCCTGGACGAAGTGAGAGTGATAGGGCTGATGGGCGGTGAGCACGGCCGTCATCTCGTCGTGGTCGGCCGGGTGGATGTATTCGTAAATGCTGTTCCCGGTCAGCTCTACCTGTAAAAAGGAGGGTATCACCGTCTCCGAGGAGGTGGTACAACCCCGCGAAGGGGCTGGAAGATTGGCCGCGGGACCACAGGACTGTGGGGACAGGAGCCTGAACTCTAGAGTCGGCGCTGAGTTCTAATTCCAATTCTGCTGCCTGCTACCTATGGCAGCCTATCTAAGCCTCAGTTTGCTTATCTATGAAAGAAAATAATAGCAGTAACTATAATTGTAGTAGTAGTAGCTCCCTGGCAATGTTCTTGTGAAGACATCATGACATAAGTTTGCAACCACCTTCCTTGGTGTTTGGCTTATGGTAGGGACTCAAAAATGTTGCTGCTGTTTGGTCTGGGGTGGAAGCTTGGGTGGATAAGGGAAGTAGAGGAAGGGAGAGATCCAGATGCCCTGCCAGCTGAGATATTTCCAGCCCCAGAAATGCACATACAATGCACATATGAAGCTTTGGGAAAGCTCCCTTCCCTCTCCTGCCTACAGCTCTGGTCTTAAACATTGAAGGCTGGAGGTGTGGACCACTCACCTACCTGAGAAAGACCCAGGTGGACTGAGGCTGTTTCTGAGATGTACATGATCTTCCCATCTGGTGCCACCACAAAGATGAAGCCATCCAGGGTCTGGGGAGATAGAAACAGAGTTGAATGGAGAGCCCTCTGGGCCATTGGGAGAAACTGACTAGGGGAGAGAGAGAAGTTAGAGATGTTCAGCCAGAAGTATAGAGAGATGGAGTAAAGGGGCTGGTAGGAAACAGGGCAGAGAAAACCAGGCACAAGAGTCCCCTCTTTGGTTCATTCCAAATATGTAAGCCTCTGGGACAGGCAGCACACGGGGAGAGGTCCAGAGGAAGTAGACAAGGGGTGGACTGCCATCCAAGACTCAGGGTCTACCACAATGGACAAAGCAGACACATTTGTAGCACACACACACACACAGACATTCTGGGTGGGTGGGGGGATCACAGCCTGCAATAAGAGGTGAGTTAGGTTCTTGGGGTGATGGTCACTGAAAGAACCAGAATTTTCCTGTGTCAGTCTTGGAAGACTCCATGGTGGCAGCATCCTATAATGGAAGGAGGGCTAGCAGGGTTTGGGAAATAGGCACAGGGCAATGCGGAAGGTCTGGCAGTGTGAGAAGTTTGTAGACAGAAAGCCAGTGGCTCTGCAAAGAGTCCGGGAGATGAGGATTTAGGAGATGAGAGGCTTTCTGGGCAGCAATTCTATAGAAAAGTGCAAGAGCGTGTATGGGTGTGTGTGTTTACGTTGATGTAGCGGACTGACAGCTCTCCATGAAGGAAAGTCATTCACTGTCCCTGCATTTCTGTGAATGAGGCTTCAGTCCAGGCAGTGGAGATATAGGAGGGAGGCAGATCCTGCTCTCAAGGAGCTGGAAGTCCAGCAGGGGAAACTGGCCTGAAGACAGATAAAATGACCACAGAGTGAAGAGATGGAACTGTTAGGCCCAGAGGCTACGTGGCCAGAGGCCCGGGGAAGAATCAGAGAAACCTTACAGGAGGTATTTGAGCAAAGCCTTGAAGAGGAAGCCTGATCTGGAGAAGGGAGGAAGGGCATCCTAGGAGAAGGAATGACTCGACACATGGCAAAGGCAAGATCTTGGGGGGGGGAGGGGGATGGTGGATCTGGTGTACTCAGGTGAGATAAGTTTGGTGTACCAAAGATGGGGCTGAGGAAGTATACTGGTGCTGGATCCAACAAAGTTTTCTAAGCAGGGGAATAGCATGCTTAGATGTCTTTTTTTTCTGGCAGAATGTGGACCTTGACATGCAGGAGGAAAGAGTGGAAATGAAGAGATCAGAGATGGTCAAGCCCAAACTTTGGTGGTCACGAGGGGGATGGGAAAGGGGGAGAGTCTAATCCAAAGATGGTTCCAGCTGTGGAATTTATGGTGGCAGAAAGAGAAGCCAAGACTGACTTCAAGGTTTCAGTAAGGGCATTGAGAAGAGGGTAATACCACTAACCAAGATTCAAAATTTAGGGAAGTGTGGTGAGTTTTTCGATGAGTGGGAGTCTGGAGAAAGGAGACAATGAATTCTTGTCTTGGAGGTGCTAAACTTCAAGTGCATGCAGTTTCCATTTGGATGTGTCCAGTTGGCAGCAGGAAATAAGGATCTGGAGCTCAGGAGGGGTGTCTAGACTGGAGAAACCAGCTGGAGTTTTGCAAATGTGGGGAAAAGAGTTGAGGTGGTGGTGTTGGCTGAAATCACCCAGGAGTCCTTGACACTGTGAGAGGAGAAACAGAGCTCAAGCTTGGGGAAATGCCAGCATTTACAGCCAACCAGTGGTGGGAAAGCCAGAGGAGCAAGCAGAGAGAGGGAACAATCCAGGAAATTGTGCTACTTTAGAAACTGAGGGAGGGGGCCGGCCCCATGGCCGATTGGTTAAGTTCGAGTGCTCTGCTTTTGCAGCCCAGGGTTTCACCATTCGGATCCTGGATGTGGACATGGCACCACTCATCAGGCTGTGTTGAGGTGGTGTCCCACATGCCACAACTAGAAGGACCAAGAACTAAAAATCCACAACTATGTACCGGGAGGCTTTGGGAGAAAAAGGAAAAATAAAATCTTTAAAAAAATAAAGAAAAGAAAAGAAACTCAGGGAAAGGGAGAATGTAAAGTAAGCAGTGTTACTTCCATCAGGTTTTTATCCAAATGTCACTTTCTCAGTGAGGCCTTCCACAGCTGTCCCCATTTTCAATGGTATCATTCAAACACAGCTCTCCTCCTTCCCCTTCTAATTTTTTCCATAGGATCTACATCACCTGTTATAGTATGCACTGCACCTGTATGGGTTTGCAAGACTACTCTCCTTAGAATGTAAACTCCATGTGGGCAGGGCTTCCTGCCCAGCACACAGTTGGCCCTCCTATATTTGTGGAGTGAATGTGGTCAGGTAGAATAAGAGATGAGCATTTTATGCTGAATACCAAAATGTGGTGGAGCACACGCAGAGCCCCATGACTGGGAGATGCCAGACAGCAGGGGTGTGGGTGCGATGGGGCAGGGTGAGCAGGGAGTTGAGAGTGAAATTAAATCCTTCGAGAAGTTTGAGATGAAGAAGAGGAAAGAGATTGGGCACAAGCTAGAAAGAGTGAGGGGTTGTTTGGGTTTTGTTCTCTTGTTTACGTTGGTGAGAGAAATTAGCTGGGAATATGGAATTATTGGGGGGGGGGGGATGTCATTTGTTGAGAGACAACTAACGGAAGCTGGCCCTGAGAAAAAGGAAGGATGGCACCATTCTAGCTAAATTTGGAGGTGTGGAGACCAGACCAGTGAAGGAATGCTCACCCATAGCCTTTCTTTGCTCTGTGAAACTAAAATCTTTCCAGCCTGTGAGATGGAGGGAGGGCCCAGGTGGCCTGGGACTGAAAATTTAGGGAAGCGTGGTGAGTGTTTCTATGAGTGGGAGTCTGGACTCAGACTCCCCCGATGCTGCTTAGGTTTGAGACTCCCACATGAGGAGCTCGTGGTGGACTTTAATAATAATAATAATAAGGGGGTGCAGAGTGGGAGACAAGTGTCAAACTTAAAAGTGCTACCGGGAGTTTTACTACTTTAAATATTTGCTAGGCGACTTAAGCGGGCAGGGGCAATTTGAAACGGTGTACACTGCAAACAACGCGGGGATGAGCGCCTCCACACTGGTTAAACTCATTACCTGGGGAGATATATGTGTGCGCGCGAGGGTCTGCACATGGCCTGGGACGGCCCGGGGTGAGGGCACGTGGAGAGAGAGGAGGGAGCCCGGGAAACTACTGGGAGGAGATGAAACGAGTCGCAGACGCAGCTGGATCCGGAATGTGTGGGCTTAAAGCATTGACCGGCATTTCTGCTGGATTCCCGTTATTTCCTGTGTAAATCCTTCATTTTGGACGGTTTTGCAGCCCGGCCTCGGCAGCTTGGCCCGGGGCCCTCGGGTTCCCTCAGAAGAAGGGTGTCAAAGGGCACCCCCTCCCTGGGTTCAGCCATCCTGATGGGGGCCTTGCCGAGCTGCCTTCCAAACCCAGCGCGCCGTTTGTCACCTTGCCTCCCTCTCCGCCTCTCTAGGCGCCATCCGCACCCAGCGAGGTTAAGAACTAAACGCTTTAACTTTGGAGGAGCTGTAGGAGATCCAAGAGGGCCACGTGCGGGCCGGATCCCATTTTTCTGGGAGAAAAGAAGCCGGGTGGGGCCAGACACCCGGGCCCTGGAAGCATCCGCGCCGCCTCCGGAAGGCCCGCGCCGGTACCTGGAGCAGATGAGAGCCCAGTTCTCGGCCAACGTTGTCCAGGGGGCTGGTCCGACTCGAGTGACCCCATGCCTCGCCGAGCCCTGTGGAGACGCAGAGATGCCCTTTAGCGATGGGACTCCGACCCAGCGGGCACTTTGAGACTGGTCTGGCGGTTGTGTCACACGCGCATCTCGCACACAAGACCTCATCCCCTCGGGGCTCCCCACCACCAGGACCGAGAGGACCTACGAGCTGGTAAATTTCGCCCGGTTCTCTCAGCTTCTAAAGGGTCAAGCAGAGGTCAAAGTCCCTCTCTGGGACGAGCGTGGGCTTCTTAGGGACCGCAGGGCCCTGACTGAGTGTCCCCCTGGCGGGACCCCAAGTAGCCGAGTTTGGGGACAGCCTGAAGGGGCCTCGACACCGCACCCCAGCAACAACTTTTGCGTAGGTCCATTACTGCGCTGAGGGAGGTGGGGGACACTATTTCTCACCCAAAGTTTCATCATCATCCTCATCACGAGGCAAGGATGGCCACACATCCAGCAAATGCCGCTGCCCGCCCGGAGCGGGCGCGGCAGGCCAGGTCCAGCTGGTCCCTAGTGGGCCCTCTGATTGGCTGCAGGGCTCTCCAGCCATTTTTCTCCCCTTCGGCCTCTGACTCTCATCTCCTTCGGAAAAATCCGTTCGTTCGCGGCATGGCTCCCAGTACCATTATTCCCGCGCAGTCCTTCTTGCTCTGCCCTTCCCCTCCTAGCCCCGGCCTCACCCATCCTAAGCTCACCACCCCCACCAAAAACCGCACTGGCGCTCTTGAAATCAGTTACTTTCCGGTGCTGACACCATCTCAGCACTATTTTCGTTCCCTTCTGGATAGAGAATCCGTTTCTCTACTGTCCTCGTATCATCGATTAACAAAGACAGCCGTTTCCTCTCCTCGGTTGCTACCACGTTAAGATCTTTTCAGGCTTTGCCACAAATCATTTCTCTGGTGATGCCTAAAAAGTAAAACTCCCTGGGTGCCCGTGGCTGATTTTTTAAAAATTAATATGGAGTCTACTATAGTACCTGTTTGCGGAAAGAAAATGAAAAATAAGGCAGAAGAAACTTCCCGAGACCAAAGTTAAACTAATTATAGGTACTATCTTTTAACAGTGTTGCTGCTGAAATTAAACTAGGTAGTTAAACTCTTTTATGCTTACACCATTAAACAAGTTTTAACATGACCCAAAAAAGGGCTGATTTGCTGATTTACTAATTACGGGGAAATTACTACGATGTACATAAAGACAAACACACTCGCATTGTAATGTGGGGGTGGGGGCGGATCTTTCAGAATAAAACAAGGAGTTGGACTCTTAAAATGTGTTGGCCAGAAGCTGCTTCCTAAGCAAGCGATCAAAACCCTGGTAACGAGTCAACGTGAGCGCCCCTTAAGCTCGAATAGGGTCTTTCTGGGTGTTTGCACATCTAAATAAATCTAACGATTTCCCCAGCGCTCTGCAAACACCGCCGCTCCCCGCCCGCGCCCGACTCCTCTCCCTCCCTCGCGTCTCGCCGACCCCTCCGGGCTCTTTAGCCCGCCCCAGTTTCCCTCCCTAGAGTGACTGCACTGCCCTGATTCCTGTGGTCCTCCTGGACCATTCCAGAGGGCCTCTGCCACAGCCTCCTGTACACACCCTTTCGCCTTGTCACCTTCCCTCGCTCCTCCCGTCTCAGCCAAGTTATCTTCGTTGGTTTCCGGCACGACATGCATGTTTTCATCCCTGCTCACACATACCGACTCAGAAGAAGTGGCAAGAGGGGTTGGCTGGGGAGGCCGTACAGGAGAAGGGGAGAGTCAGCCGGGGACGCGGGTGGCTCTGGCCCCTTGGACGCTGTGGGCCCAGCCAAAGGCCTAAAAGCCCACAGCTTCGCGGGGGCGAGGAGCCGGCAACTTCTGAAATCACAGCTCCCAGAAGGGTGCGAAGCCTGCGCTTAAGGCCTCCAAGCGTCTTTATCCTAAAATTATGAAGGTCCCCCAAAGCGGCTGGGAGACCCCGGGATCGGCATCCCGACCCGAAGCGTCGGAAAGCGCCCCGGCTGGACCCGGGGTTAAGCACTGGTTCCGAACTCCGCGCCGGCCCGGGCTGTTCGCGCTCTCGGGTTGCGGCCTCATTAGTATGCGCCTAGGAGGGGAGAATCAGACTTCGCCGCAGGTTAATAACCAGCCGGGCGGCGCAGGTTAACTGGGGCCTCCCTCGCCCTCTCCTGCCCCTCGCCCCCCTTTTAAGGAACCTTTTGCTTTCACGGAGCATTGCCTTCTCTTTATGTCCCCGGTCGAAATGGCCGTCACACGGTTATGTCTGGGTTAATGTTTTATGCGAGGCTGGCAGCGCTCGTCTACCTGCGTGCTTTCCTGACCTCACACTAGGGCCGAGCTTGCCCTTCCGCCTGCCCAGGACACCTCCCAGACCCCGGGCATGGGTCCCGCCTCCCGAAAACCCCGCAGTGGGTCAGAGACCCTTGTCCCCGGACCCCTCTCCTCCTGCCTGCGGTGACGCGCTCCCGCACCCAATTTCAGTTGGCGAGGAGGGTAAGCTGAGATTTCGTTTCTGCACTTGACCTACCGCAGAAAATTCGCAAATCCTTTGATTGTCTGTTTAAAAGGAGGAGGAAACCAGCTCCCTTTGCGGCAGGATTACAGTGGGAACAAGATCTAAAGATTCTCTTGTAATTCGGTGAGGCCGAGGGAGCGGGGTTTTGCAAAGGAAAAAAGGAGCTCTGTGAGGGAGGCGATAACTAAATCGGGTTTTAGACAAAAGGATTTTCCCCAGCTAAAGTGGCCGAAGACAAAGGAAAACATAATCTATTTTGGAAGATTTCCAAGATATGCCACATTAACCTCAGCAGATAAATTTTGCTTCTCCCCTCCCCCTCCTCCCTTCAAGTCTAGTTTATCATATTTACATAAGTAGTATTAGAAGAGATGTATCTATTATGGATCTAAAAGGCTGGCTCACATTTCATGTGAAAACCCGGGCGAAGTTTCACTGTTGCTTTACCCTCGGTGCGCCGTTGAGCCATTTCCATTTAAATACCCCCCTGACCCAAGGATTACCTCAATGGACTGACTGCACGGGTTTTGTAATTTCCTGAAAATGAGATTTCGATTTATAAAACAAGAAACCAATTAGTAACCAAATGAGGCGAAGTAGATCCAGTAAAATTGACCTAATCCCACAGGCACAATTTAGGCCCGTTCTTGGCGAATGAATGATGAGCCCCCGTCTAGCGTGAGCTCAAAGCATCATCCAGCTGTGTTATTGCAAGCAGCAAAAATAAATTGATCGACCCTTTCCTTCGGAATGAATTTCATACCCTTGACAAAATATAGATTACAGACCCGGCATCATCACCTCCCTCTCTCAGACAGGAAGAAGAGGAAGAGAAGGGCTTATGCTACTGTTTTTGTTTTGTTTTGTTTTGAATAAATAAACACTATAGCTTAGGAGAAATGTGTCCTCCTTGCAGTCGTTCCCGGAACCTTCAGCTCCCGGACTGGTCGCTCTACATGTGCCTTTTAGGCAACATGGGGAGGGGAGGGGGCTGGAGGAGCTGTCCCATGACCAGACCACAACTTGGTGACTGAGTCAGGAAAAGGCCTCAGAGACCGCGCTCCTAACTCGGGTCCTGAGGGCTTTGGCTCAGCCGCCCAGGGTTTCGGCAGGGCCTGCGCGGCCTCCTCAGGGTCCAGTAACCGAGCGGTCTTCGTGTTAGGGCTCCGGGAGCCCCAGCGGCTGGGCTCTCTGGGGACGAGAGGGACGGAGATGGGGCGCCCTTAGCCGAGACCTAGGGCAGGAGCCGTCCCGGGTAGGGGGCAGGGGACGGGGGCGGGGAGGCTGCTTCGCGCACCTGTGTGCACAGCCCCCACCTTGGGCGCTGGGGTCCTTCCAGTTCGCCGCCCCCTCTGGCCACCTGGCAGGTGTGGCGGACCTCCTGAGGGCGTCGATGGCCCCACTGGGCCACGCTTTGTCCCACGCAGCAGCCTGCGTCCACCGTGTGTGTCTGCGTTCGGCAATGGCCCTGCGTGCCATGCCCTCCCCTGCCTGCCTCCGAGCGCCCAGGTCGCGCCGGGGGAATCCACTAACGCTGGTGCAAATCTGGGGTGGAAACGGATGGCCACGGCGCTGGCTCTCCCTCTGCGTCCCGTCCTGCTCTGGCTCGGAGCTAGGGCTGCCCGGCAGGGACCGAGCCTGCAGCCAGGTGGGCTGTCGCGCCCGGGCCCGCCACGAGAGAGCGCGACTTGTCGGGGCCAGAGACGGGCGGGGTTCGGCCAGGTCCCAACTAAACCAAGGGGCGAAAACACACATGGGGGTGACAAGAGTGCCCGGCGTGGCGGCAGAGAAACATCAAGGGGTGTCATCCAGGACTACAGGGTTTTGAGTGTGGCTCGGGCGGGGCGATGCCACCGCTCCAGAGGCAGGCGCGGCGAGGCACAGCCAGCTCGGGCTCCGCTGGGCAGCCGGGACTCCGACGGCAGCGGCTCAAGGCGCAGAGCGCGGCTGGTCCTGGGGCCGCGGTTCGGGCAGCACGAGGGACGGCGGGCGCACTCCCGCACTGCCCGGCCCTTCTCCGGGCAGGCAGGAGGGGATGTCCTGGATCCCCGGGAGGGCGGAGAATGGTCGGGCGTGGGGAACGAGGGGACAGCGTGCGGAAGCTGCGGCCCGCAGAGCCAAGGCTGGCCGGGCGCCGGCTGCAGCGGCGGGAAGAGAACGGGCCGCGGTAGAGGAGCCCCGTCCGCTACGGGTTTCCGGCCGTGCAGGCGGCCTGGCCGAGGCTTCGACAAGGTCACCGTCCTTGACCTGGTCGAGGGACCGATGTCGAACGACTGTGCAAGAGCCGCCTGCCCGAGGGGGCTACCTGCGGAAGAAGTTTTGCTCCGCAATTCTCAGACGGTTTTAGTAGTTTCTGATCAGCAGACCCATTGCTAAATAATAGAAGTTTCCCCTCCCCCACACAAAATTTCAAATTCCATGCATCAAGGACCCGCAATGGGTGAACAGCTAAAATCTCAAGGTGTTACCTGGGTCTTAACCGCATTCTCTTGAGAAATTTCCTGGGCCAACTAAGAGAGAAACACAGCGAGGATCCATGGGTTCTGATTCTATGTCCACAGTTGTGGCTGCAAAAGCTCGAAGCTGCCAAGATTTCCCCAGAATTGAAACATTACCCCGCTAGAAATCAGGTTTGTCCTCTAGAAATATAGCCTGATTTCAGCGTCAGGTGGGTGATTGTACCCGGCTTAAAAGCATCCCACCATAGCTTATGATACCCTGTTTTTGTTATTTTGTTATTGGTTTTATTAGTGATCGCTCCCTTTAAAGAGAAAAAGTATTTTTTCCATTGATCTGATCTACAATTTCTAGCACATAAATCTGCCTTGCAAATGCTTTGCACGGAGGTTAGTTCTGCACTCTACGTTTTATGTCAACATCAAAACTGGAATTAAACACAGAAAACCAGCGTGGAGCGTAAACTGCGCTTAAAGTCTTTTAAATGAGAAAAACTTCTGTAAGAAAATAAACATGGAAACCTAATGCTCAATCATTTCCCCAAGCAGCAAGAAAAACAGCCTTAAATCACTCATCCACGTGGGAAATGGGACCTTTTTTTCTCTTTCACTTCTCAGCCTCAAAAAATATAAAGCGATTAAGGATTTCAATCTTGAGGTGAATATTATAGAAAGGGTCTGTGGAGGTTTGTTTAATCATGCTTGTCCTCCCAGCTTTTGTAAAGACTCTCCTTCCTGCATGGTTACTCCAATTCTGTGAATATTTTTATTTTCCCAAGACATCTTGACAGTGAAATGGTAGTGTGACGTTACCAAGATTCTGAATGGCTATAGATTGGAAAACATGTCTGATCTTTTCAAGGGATGTTCTGCAAGCCACTACGCCCCCCCCCCCCAAAACTGTATTGTATCTGGAGAACAAATACATATTTCTTTTTAGTTAAATTTGTCCTATTTTGCACACAAAGTCATCATCTTTTTTTAAAATCCTGCCTTTCTGACTTTGATAATACCAAAGACACATACATTTCTAGATGACTCAATTTTTCCTTTGCAAGTCTGTTTTAGAATAAAATATGTTACCAAATGGGAGATATGCTTTTTTAATGATTTCACAGTAATCTTACCTGAGTTTTATTTTTTACTATGAATCTACAATCTAATGCTTTATTCTTAATTATTCCAGGCACCCAAGTCCCATTTCTCTGTTCTCTCTCTTTCTCATTTTTCCCTCATCAGCTCAATTTTATCTACTCAGATAATTTAAAGCTGAAGTTTGCCTTCAGACAAGGAATCTACTAGACCATGGGCAGGAAAAGCTGTATTCAGCAATTGAGAAAGCAGGGGAATCAGCTATATTTAAGAATTTTTTTTAATTTTTTCAAATATAAGTATGGAAGGACTTTTTTTTTTAATGATTTAAGCCTTTTGGGATTACAGAGCATTATAGATGATATGTAATATGAGCAAAAATAGTGGAGTTTTACAGTCATTGTTATGCCTATAACTAAGATATTGCTAAATTTATGATTATTTTAGATTGTACACTTTGCAAATCCATATGTTACGTGTGATAAATGCTTACCATGATGAACTAGCTATCTTTATCCCATCCTTAAAACAAAATTTTATTGAAGACCTACTATGTGCTAGGATGGCATCAAGATAGACGTCAAAATGAACTTCAACTTCAAACAAATTCTTTCCATTTTTCCTCACTAAAAAAGACCCCCCACATAAGGTGGTCAGTTCCCCCCACTGCCATGGACCCAATCTTGTCCACCCTCTGCCTTCAGTCAACAGCTGAACCCAAATCTGGCACCCTCTGCAGGTTGTGCCAGGTTCTGCAGCTTGTGATTAGTTCACTCCTTTGAAAGCTGTTGGCTTTTTTGTTTGTTGTTGTTGTTCTTTAATATTTTAAAGGGCTGTGTTTGGGTTTTGGGTTTTTGAAGCTAATCTATCCTCACAATTAAAACCTCATCCGGAGAAGCCAGCTGTTCGGATGACCCTGTCTAACTCGCCGGGTGCAGGCTGCAGGTGAGTTATGAGCTCGACAGTAGCTGGAGAAATAAATGATGTGCCCAGAGTTCACACATCGTCCATCCCCTCCTCCCCATAAACTCACACTCAGCCGTAGAAGAAGGGAGAGGCGGGAGGAGCCCTGGGCCCAGGACTCGGGAGGAAGGTGAGGGGGCTGCAGAAAGCACAGTCGCCCTTAAAGTAGCCACAGGGGACCGGCCTGGCCACCAAGGGGACTCCAGCAGGAGCTCCACCAGCTCTTGCTTTAAAAATAACGAGAAGTTGGCTGAGAGAGCTTATTTTGCTCGTCCTATTTATTTATCACGCGAGTTATAATTTGTGGAGTTAGCACTTAATTAAACAAGAAAGCTTGCTCTCTTAAAAACACAACCAAACAACAAAACAGCCCGATCCCCTCTGGCGGCGCCTGCCCGGGGTCTGCAGGACTCCGAGGAGCGCCTCTGGCCCGGCGACTCCTTGGGCGCTGCGGTCCCTCTCTGTGCCCGCCTCGGCACGGCGACCCGCTCTTCTTTTCCTCCCGCGATTACTCGCAGCCCCACAAGCAGCACCATATGCTTCTTCTGATCAAACAGCGAGCGACATCGGCACCGATAATTGACGAGACCCGCTAGAAATCACGCAGAAAGGGAGCCCACTGAGACCGCTAATAATCCTGTTAGAACAGCGCGGCCAGCGGAGTTCGCAATAGCTTTATTTTTATAAAGTAGGCGCCGACAGTATCAAAGACAACGAGATCTCTTTTTTAAACAGAAGGCGGTGTAGCATAATAGTAATTTTCCCACCCGCAATTCTCAGCACAGTCTGAATGGGAAATATGGTTTTGAATATATAAGTTCCCCCTCCTTTTTTCCTTTTTTTTCCTTTTCTTTCTTTTCCTTTTTTTTTTTTTCTTCAACTTTTCAGGTACTTTAGGCTTTGATTCCTCTCCTCCTGGGTGTCCAGGGTCAGATGAGATTGTTTAAGGAACTGCTTTAAGATAAAACGACTATAACACTACTTAGAGTTTGGGAGTAAAATGGAACTACAATTTGAAAGTTTCCCTTTATGGCCCCTGACTAATTCGGGGCATGTTTTGCAAGATTTTGATTCGGATAATAACTTTTAGTCCTGATGGAGGAAAGTGAAACTCCTAGCCCAGTCACGACCATTTCCTTCCCCTTAAGAGAAAACAACAAACCCCAAACATCCCAGATCAACAATAACAGAAACTCCCCAGGTCAAATAAGAAGTTCTGGTTTGTAAATAAACAGAGTTCTTTCTCCTGGATTTTCGTTGGTTCGTTGAGAATTGTCTCCTTTGCATTTCCAAATTCCCCTCCCCCAGCAAAGACATATCTAAAATATTTTTTTTAATCTGTTTATGTTATTTGAATATGGGTAAAGGAAAGGATGGGGAAGCGAGAAGTGTCCTTTTCCCAGTGAGTGTAAATGTTTTATACAGGACACTGTTCTTCACTGTTCTGTGAAAGCTGCTGTGTCCTCACTCAGTGAATCCTGATAATCTAAATACATGTTTTAAATCATGTCAACAGCTCAGCTCTTCTAACTTCTAGGTCTTATAAGAAAATTGCCCCAGGATTCATTTGCCAACCTGCCACCCAGAAGACATTTTCTCAGTGGGCTAGCCATCTCAATTCAATCTTATGTTTTGGGGGACTAGCTTCCTATCTCAGAGATGATATCAAGCCCAGAGTTGCAAATCACCAAGCCCCAGAGTTAGTTTCAGAATCTGTGAATGTCTCAAAAACTCAGAATAAATTTCCTATAAGCCATCAAGAGACTGGGTAAATTCAGGGCATATTTGTTCATGAATATGTCTGCTCCTCATTTGTGGAATTAAAGACATAGATAAAAATTGTTATCTAGCTTAGCTAGCTCCATGTACACGGGCCTATCTATACGGTAGCAAAAATACAAGCATTTGGCAGTGCTCCTCCTTCCTGCTAGATACAATTCTAACAAGAGGAATAAAAAAAGAAAGTCGTGTTTGGATTAGTACTACTTTCAATTGAGCCCAGTACCTAAGTGTTGACAAAGGCACCGTTGGGCTGCTTCCCAACCAAACATATCTGATGGACTGAAGAGAAAGTATTAATGGGGAAGTAGAAAAAGCCACAAACAGGCAACAGGAATCCTAAGTTCAGAGAGGTCCGTAGTCAAGCAGCCACTCTAAACTTCCCTCTGCAGAGAGTCTGTGTGTAAGCATGAATGTACTTCTCTGCCCAGCGGTGCAGGCTCACTTACTGTCTGGCAAATCCCCTACCCTTCTGCCTTTGAAATTCCATCTGGGCAAAGTCACTTACCTTCTGGGAACACTACTCTCATTTTGAGATAGCTGGTCGTGAGTCTGATTATGGATGCTTTGTCCAGCTGCGAGGTGATAGCCGAGGGCAAAGGCAATAATTTTGCCAGTTCATAAAATTCACTGTTTTCCTTCTCCCTCCTAGTCCGGGCAGCATTTTTGGACTTCTCTTTCATTGTGTCTCGTTCCCCCTTTCTTCTTACCACATAAGCTCCACAGATTCATCCAAAACCAAAAAATAAACTTTCAATTAGAGATCATATTTAGCAAAAACATAAAGCATACTTCGAATGTAGAGACTGGAGTCTTGGCTTCCGTGTACCGAGGGTAGTAAAAGACCAACGCGGCGAACAGAAGATACTTTCTTTAAAAACGCGGGATGCGAGCGTAGGAAAGCTGCTGATCGGCGGCAAGCTGGGCAATCCTAGGAGTGTCTGGGTATCAAATGCCGGCGAGATCCCCGAGGAGCCAGCCTTTTCTTCTGTTCCGCGCTGCGAACCCCGGTCCTCGGAAAATCGACATAATCATCCCCGACGTTGGCGCTTCAGTCCCGTGGCATTTGAGATGGCTCTGAGCCCTTTGGGAACAACCGGAATGCCGGACACCTCTTTCAGGCCACTGTGAAGACAACAGCATCAGAGCATAAGAGATCGGCGGCTCCACGATCACTCATGCCCTCGCCCGAATTCCCAAAAACGGCCGGCAAGGGCCTCGGCGCGCCTCGGCTTTCCTCGCCAGGCTTGCCAGTGTTTTTGTTTGTTTTTTTAAGATATGGAGAAATCACAGCGAGACTGAGGCCCTGCAAATAATGCTCGCATTCCCTCATCCATGCCAGCCACATTCTCCAGGGCCCTGGGGAGTTGCCCAAACAACACAACGCATATTTTTGAAGACCCTTAGGAGACCCTCGGCCGCCGGGCCCCGTGCCCGCGCCCAGGCCAGACGCAGCCCCCGCCCCAGGTTTCTGCAAATCAGAATTCCTCCAGGGCGCGGCGAGCGCCCTTAGGTCCCCCTGCGCTGGCGGATCTGGAACGTGACTACCTCTCTGACTTGACTCTCCAGTCTCAGGGATTCCTCAAAAAGTGGCACTTACACATCAAGTCCCTCGGGACTCCCGAGGCAACCCGGGGCTCTCCCTGCCCAGCAGGGGCGGCAACACGTCGGGCACGGCCGCGCCAGGTTAACAGGTGGCACATTCAGGACAGCCCCTCGCAGGCACCGAGGGTGGGGGGTGGGGGTGGGGGTGGGGGTGGGAGGCGTCCCGGCCTCTCCCCCTCCGCCGTGGAGCTGCGGGCGTCCCTGGGAGGGCGCAGGGTGTCTTCCACTTCACCTACCTTCAGTCCCCGCTGGCGGCCAAGGGTGCGGAGGCGCCCACCTCTTAATTCTACTCATGCCTACCGTCCAACTAAGCCACTCCGCCGGCCTCTCCGCTTCCCACCGGCAGAGAGGAGCAGAGCGCGCCCTGGCTCCCTTTTCTTTTCTTGGTCATGAATTGGGGGAGGGGTGCGTGCGAGAAGGAGGGGGATGTGGGCTTTGGGACGGGTGAGGTTGTTTTAGAATCCTCCTCCTCGGTAGTTGCTACGAAGCCAATATTATTCCTAATTGGAAGCCGAAAACGCCCCCCTATAACTTCTTTATAGCTTACGGCGTTTAGCTTCAACTTCACTCCTTGGCTCCCCCTCTCCCGCCCTCCCTTGATGCCACTCACAAACCTCCTCGCCTCCGATTGGCCCGGCGCGCCCCGAGGCGCGGCGCTCATTGGCCGGCCGGGCTGAGTGACGCGCGCACGCCCCGCGCCGGCCCTCCGCGCGGCCCCGCTCTCGGCTGGCCCCCTGGCTACCCGCGTGGCGGTCCTGCTACTACCGAGCCCCGGGCACCCGCGTCCGCGCTGCCCTGCAGCCGCCGCTGCTCCCGGCCTCCCAGGCCTCGCGGCCGATGTGCAGGGCCCGCGCTCCCTGGGGTCGAGTGGCTGCGCTTTCAGCCCTGAGCGTCGGCCCCGCGGTGCCGGGGGCGCCCGAAAGCTGCCGAGGTCGGGCCAGGGAGCTGGGGCTCCGGGTCAGAGAGGCAGGAGTCACCTAGACTGCGGGCGTGGGGCGTCCAAAGGCCGAGCTGGCGGCCGTGCCCTTCCGGGGGGCAGGTTGGCGGGCCCAAGGCCTGCGCAGGGTCGGTATCGGGCTTTATTTTATCTTTCACGTTTCTCTGAAACCACAACGATACCGAATTCATCACCAGAGGAGATAAATATACCTGTCTTTAAATTAACCTTAACGAGGAGCGTCTTTTTCGATATGGGTCGAGTTTGGGGGCAGATTTGTTCACCCTGGAAAGCTCAGCGGAGGAGCTTTCCTATGGAGAGCAGATACGGGACCCGGGAACAAGAGGTTACATTTCAGGCCAAAATAGATTAGGTAGAGTGGTAGATATATAGATAAATATCTCACAACAAGCCATTTTCTTGAACGTAAGTGAAGACCATTTGATGGGTTTTGTTTCAGGAAACCAAAGTCCAACATGAATATTCCTTACAGAAAGGATGTAATCTGCGCGAATGAATTTCCAACATTCACCATTCCCCAACAGGAGCTGCTTAAACAAACGCTTGTAAGTATCATTGCTGACAAATTATATTTAAGAGACCCTCTGATTTGAATCTCCCTTCTGTCATCTGAGGAAAGACAACAGATAGCAACGGGAAAAAGTTGACTTGTCCTCCCCTCCAAGACAATTAATGTCGCTTTCGAGTCACTCCCTACAGACGCGCTTCCCGGCTTGTTTTTGGTGCTGCTGGTGACCACGATTCTGCTCCTGGAAGTGCACTTAGGAGGCAGTTGTTTCATGGACGATGAAAGACAGTGAGAACGCCCATAATGTTGCCCTCGTCCTCTCGTCGTGGTGCTAATTGCCGCCAAGAAAACATATACTCTGAAGAAGGGTGTGTGCCATTCTGCCGATATTCGGGACAATTTTAAGAGTGTTTGTTCAAAAATACAGACATCTGCCACCTCCTTGCCGCCCGATGGCAGTAAGCTCGCAGAAGGACAACGGGAGCTTTCTGGGGGTATTTACACATCTGGGGAACACCTGGCAAGAGGAGGTGAACGTTCTAGATAGAAAGAATGAGAAAAAATAACTAAACATAGAGATTTTAGCAGGTGTTTCAAAACCGGAATCCAGATAATGGGCTCTGATCTAGAAGAAGTCATTTCCCCAGAGGCTGTACTCACTTACAGACCTTGCTCTGCGCTGGTTCCGAGCACCAAGTGATGCACTTTTAGCAAGAGATGAGTAGGAATACAGAGAGAGATGTACTGTGGCTCCCTTGGACACAAGAGTCCAGAAAGACCAGATAAGGTCAAGTTAACTACTACATGTAAAGAGAGGGGTGTGTGTTTGGACAGGATGAAAGAACCTTCCGTGACCTTCTTTCCCCCACCCCCACAACCTAGACAGATCTTAGGGGTAAAATGGAGCGGCCAGGCGAAGCAAAGACACTTTAGGGTAAGAAGCGGTTTTCTATTCGGGCTGTGTTCTAGAAAGGATTTCAATTCACTTGGCGGTTACTGTAAACCGTATTTCTACTTCCAACAGCGCGCAGGTGTGTGAGCGCCTTTTCGGGTCCTGGGACTCTCTGGGGCATCAGGCAGTGCCCGGCTCCCCAGACAGGGCGCGGTTCACACGGACGAAAGGCTGTGTTGTGCCTTCAGAAGCAAGATGGGCAAAATGAGTATGAAAATCTTCACACCGAAGACGACATCCTGGGGGACCAGGCGGGCTGCTCCAGGGTCCCAATGAAGCTCAGTAGTCGATGAAGCGAGTAGATACCGTTTAATAAACAAAGTGAATGCACGGCCATGTGAGGACAGCCCCTCGCTAAGTCCTCCGCACACAACTCTCTGAGGCGCGTTTACCGAGAGAGTAAATTAGCATGGCGACGTAACACCTGTTTTTCTAATCTTTGAACCTAGGCTGGAGCCGGAATGCGGCTCCTTCACTCCCCCGCCCGGGTGCTGGGGACCGGCCTCCCACCCTCCCGGCGACCCCGCCCGCCGCCCCGCACGAGCCTCGTGCCAGCTGGGGGGGGGGGGGGGGGAGATGAACCAGAACCTCAGGTGCCTCCCACGTGTTTGGAGAATTTCTGTTCGCCTCTAGCATGAGAAATTTTAAATCCGTTTCTTAAGGCGAATCCTACCCATCTCTTTGCCAGTGTAAGGGGAAAAGCCCCAGAAAGGAAAGAGACGGGCACATGCGACGCACTAACACCAAAAGGGAATACGGAGAGAGTCTAGGCCTCCTCCTCCTTGCGCCGGGGCCTCAAAATGTAGCCCTCTGGCCCTCAGGCACTGTCTACGCGGCCCGGGACGCGATTCCTAATGCGGGAAGAAACCGGAGTCTATCTATAAAGAATCTTCCTTCTCCACCCCCTCTCCCCCCATGACCAAGGAGGGCAAACAGCCTGAGTGAAGGCAATATTGTGCCCCTGGGATTCTCTCCCACCTCCCGGGCAACCCTGGATGCTGCCCGCAAGGAGCCCGCCCTCAGCGGCCGGGTCGCCAAGACGAGCAGGCGCCCAACGCTCTAGTCCCGGAGGCAGGGCGCGCCCACCGCGGCCGAGTCAGGACCGCCACGCCGGTGCGCGCGGAGGCCCGTGCGCTGCGCGCGCCCGCAAGGAAGAGGAGGGGGCCTCCGAGGGCCGCCCGACCCCTCCCAACATCAGGCAAAGTCCAGACTAGAGATGCTGAACCCTTGGGTTGTAAAAGGACTAGCGAACGCCCAGCGGAATTCTGGGGCAAACCGCCGAGCCAGGTTTCCGCGCGCAGCCCCGACCAGGGCGCACCGTGCCGGCGACCTCTGCTCGGGCGCAGACCTCTCTCCTGCCTTCCGGTAACTCCTCTCTGCGCCCTGCTTCTTGAGCATCTTGTCAAAACCAGAGTGATTTCTGTTTCTCTCTTTGCCCCTCAAAACATGCTTTTTTTGTTTGTTTTTTAAAGACTGCTAGGGGAGCACACATGCAGTTTTACACGCCTGCACATGACATACACAATTGTGCAAAGCACACAGGCACAGATTTTACTCAATAGCCAAGGTTAAGATAAAGAATATGTTTATAATCGAGATGCAAAATCTGAAGATAGTCACAAATATCTCAGTATGTTATATCCAGATGTTCACTCTCTACCACTGGAAAGGAGAATTTGTCTAGGGAAATATTAATGTCTAAGGAAATACTAACATTTTTTCTTCTTCCATGTATCTTAGTGAATCCTGCTCTACCCCATTTTACTACCACATTTAGACGTTGTCATGTTAGGGCAGAAACACGGGCCCCTTACAACTTTGACCTGGTGGGGTGAGTCTGCTAAAAAACAAAGGATAGGAGGAACCTCCAAAAAATAGAGTTATATTTAATATTTTAAAAATTACAGTAAATATCACTTGTTTCATCAGGACGTTTTGGAAAGTATAAGATATTTTATGCACAAAACAAAACAGCCTTCTTCTGAGGTACCGCTTCTCAGGTGCCTGCCTGAATTGACCATTGAAATGTTCAAAAATTTAACTTCAGTAGTTACACACTGGGAAAAAAAAACAAAAACAGAAAATGCACCAACTTTAAAAATGAGAGTGGCTAGTGCAAGTAAAGATTTTATATAGCTTTAAAATATTCTGGATAATATTTGCAGTCGAATATAACCTTGAATAGGTCTCTGAGAAACAAGAGTGCCCCTTAACCGTTCACACTTTAAGAGAACTGAATTATTCAGACATTAACAGTGGTTGGAAAACTCCGATGCTGCGCATTCTGAGGACAAGAGCTGATGGGTGCCTGTCGCTCGCAGCGCCGGCGCTTTTCACACCTGTCCTTTCCAGAAATCGAGTTGGGGATAATGTGCATATGTAGTTCAGCAAAGCTGGGCACAGGAGCAGGACCAAGGGGCTCAGAAACTGAAGGTGAACGTTGGTTTGCGACTGCTGGCGAAAGACAGTTTGATCGGTTTCAGAATTTCAGGCCAAATCACGCTCACGGTGTGCTTCAGGAGCGCATGCCTGGCCCGGGCTCGGCAGCGGGTGGCCAGGAAGCACCTGGGGAGGCAGGGTGGCCGGAAGGGGGCGGAGTGGGGTCAGTGGCCTCGAAAAGGGTGAGGGACGTCAGAATTGGGTGGATCCAGAGGGCGTGTGCCTTAGCCCCTTCGGCTTTGAGAGCCTTTGGATTCGGTTTCTGGGGAGTTTCCCCTTCTCTGAGCCCCAACTATGCGTCTAGCCCCTGGGAACATGTACCCGGGACTAAGCTGCGAGCGCCTGAAGAGGACCCCTAGCCCCCATACTCTAGGCGGAGTGGGTAAGGCATACTCTCACGCGGATCCCTCTAGTTCATAAACAGATGACCGGCTTCCAATCCGGCCTAACCTCAGGGTCACCTGGGGTGGAGGTGGTGGCAGAGTGCTGCTTTTAAATACGGACTCTCGGGCCCCACTGATTTAGCAACGGGAAATCCCTGTTGGACTCTGGAGTTAGCTTTCCGTTAGGTGTGGGAGGGGAGAGGGTGGTCGGAGCACCAGGCAGCTCCGGGAGGCGCAGGAGCAGGGGTGAGGACGAGCTCAGAGCGCGGAGCGCGGGCTCCGCCTCCGACAGCGCAGAGAGGGCGGCCGGACCCGCC